GATTTTTGTATAGCAAAAACTTTCTTTTTTACTGTCTTCAAAACAGTAAAAGATGTAGACAATTGGAATGGAAGCGCACCAGAAGATAAAGCTGCTCTTTTGAATGATTATGTGTATTTATTGCTGTTGCTGTTGAGAGCGTATATTGGTCTGTGATTAAGTACTTTTTGGATCCAATTATTTCTATTGTTTTTAATTCAGTTAATTCAAATAGTCTACCTCTGAAAAGACAATGCTAAAAAGCAAATATATATATATCTGCCATGGGTCAGTGTTTTAGAATCCTGGGATTTTTAGTTTGTGATGCACCATCACTCTTTACTGGAGACGGATAAAGGCTTTGTAAAACTACAACATCTATTATTCCATAGCATTACACCATGGCAATTACAGTGTCAAATTGCATTAGTTCTACATTGTAGATATACCCTCAAGAATGTTACTAAGAGCTGTGTTTTATTAATTGCCTTTTTACTTTTCTTGGTTGTTCCAAGACCAGAAATGAACATATAAAATATTTAATGGTTCAGTAGAGGATTAAATGTGTGACCAAATCTATTGTAACATTTTGTGAATTTTTGTATTAAGGAGCATTTGACAAAATGGTGTGACATTGCAGTCAAAATGTTGGGCTTTGTCTTTGAGTTTCAGGAATTGACCATTGCAATATATATGCCTTTTTAAATTACTACATCTTTTCTACAACACTGAGCTATAACATTTACATGGTTAAAAACTACCATGTGTGTTTGTATTCTGTTGGTGTTGAAAGAAATGTATCTTCTGTAAATGGTATCTCACATAACAGTGGCTGAACTCACAGCAGGATGCTGCTTAGATCTGTGGCAAGTCCCTTCTTGTGTCTAGCAGCAGTTTGACTTCACAATTTTTTAGCTTATCTCTTTCAAGCTATCGTTTAATAACCTTATATTCATAAAAGTTTAAAAATAAATACATTATAACCTGGTAATAGATGGGGAATGGGTGATGAGAGATTGAACAAACATGCCCCAAATTCCTCAGGAATCCAGAGCTCATAAGGGCTGGAGTGCCCATTAATGATCCTTAGATCTTTATAAGTACAATTGAATTGTCACGGGAAGTTTCCAAAATGGAGAAGGATATTGACAGTCAGTTCCAGGATCAATTATGACTGTGGATGACTATTTCTTAAACATGAAACATTGCACTAGTATCAGTTTCAAACTTTAGCAGACCTTGAATAATGATAGAGAATTGAAATATTGCAACTCATGATATGTTTGGCAGTTTAATTATTGTTTTAAATCAAAATGTTTCAGACTAGTGCATCATAAATCTTGAGACATAAAAATACTGAAATTATATTTGATTGTATCTAATTAAACCTTCTTTTGAATTCAGTACTTGGATGTATACAGTTAATTAGCTGAATGGTTTTTGTCAGCAGACAGAAGACAAATCTGATTTAGAGCAGCAGAAAGCATATTTTGAAAGATGTAAGGAAGAAATTGGGATGAATGTTCCTTACCTTAGAAGAAACCTATTTGAATAATGTTGAATTTTACGCGGTGTAGCTTGAAAAACATGTTCTGTTTTTTAAAATGTAGCCATCAGATTGCAACAGGCTCCTTTTGTTTGGCTGTTTCCCATTTTGTTCAGCTGGACAAAATGGTTATAGAGAGGATTGGCAGGTGGCAGGTGGTTCCTGTCCTGTCCATCATGTGCCCATTTCTGTAAGATTTTACATTACGCACGTTGACTCAAATGGCCATAGTGATGTCTTGACTTAAGAGTTTATTTGGTTTGAGCTCTTAACTCAAAATACTCTTATCTTAAAGTGAATTTCCCATTGAAATGCTATCAGTCCATTCTGGCCCCCTGAACCCCCCCCCCCCAGTTTTTTTGTTACATGTCTTTAAATTTTAAAAAGGTACCTTATAAATAACAATATATAAAATGCATATTCACATGAAACAATAAAAAAAGAAAAATAAACTTTAAAATTGTAGAAGCATAAAGTTGTGGCAAGGAAGCATAAAGTACAAAGTGAAGAGGTTGAAGCATCAATTTTTTTCATACTCTTCCTACATACTCTTTCCAGCCTCCTTCCTCCTCTTGCTTTCTCTCCCTCTCCCTCTCTTCATGGAGCCAAAATTCCAGGAATAAAAAAATTCCTTGAATTTCAACTGATTCAAAGTTCCTCAAAGCAGGCAAGAACAAAGCAGACAGCAATCTTCCAAAGCAGACAAGAGCACAAGGCACAGAGACTGCTCCCTTGAAGCCCTATAGCTCTGTACTCTCGTGTTAGTGCTCTTTCTAGAGCTAGTGCTCCCTCTGGCACTAGCTCTTAACTCAAAATGTGTCTCTTATATCAAAGTAAAATCTGGGCTGATTGACAGCTCTTAACTCAAAATGCTCTTAAGTTACAAAACTCTTAAGTAGAGGTTCCACTGTACTTGACACAATTCAAGAAGTCAAGCACTTCTATTAGTATGACACTCAGTGTATCATACTTTTTAAAAAAAACAATAACATAACTGTCGATTAGGATAGCTTAGTCAGGAACATCTCAGTCCCTGAAATTTCACAGTCTAAACCTCAGATAAAGGAATTTTGACTGGTAATGTGCTGAAGGTTTGGGCCAATGATAGATTAAAGCATAACATATTAAGCATCAACCAGAACTGCTCAGCACATGACATTCAAAAACAGAAACTCAATTCTAATAAATGAAAGAGGAAGAGAAGAAATTTCTGGATCATCTGCAGCAGTGGTCTGAACCAGCCTGTAGCAATACAAGTCAGCACCACACAGTTATTATTTCAAGGCAGTGCTCTCACCCTGAGCTTCCTCCCCCTCCCCCTCCCCCATACACACATTGAGATCTTGAGATTCAAGATCTGGGACCCAATTTAAGAGATATAATGATGTTGTATTGGAACCACACTGGATCAGCCATCCTTATAAGATACATTTGGAGTACCCCAAAATTCATGGATGCGCATTTCCCATTATAAACAGTGGTGTAGTAAAATTGTATCCCTTATATAAAATGGCAAAGTCAGTGTTTGTTTTTGGAGTTTTAAAACTAATTTTCAAGCCATGGATGGTTGAATCCATGGGTGCAGAATCAGCAGACACCAGGGGCTAGCTATTTTTATGTCTTCCTATGCTACTAGTTGCTGGAGGCTATATTATGGAGGAAGGAACTGGCAAAACCACCTTCTTGCCTAACAAAATCCTGTGAAATTCATGGGGTTGCTTTAAATCGACACATACAAAGTCTCTTGGGATCTCTGCTATAATAGTGTTCTTTTAATTAAAATCTTTTACTGGAACATCATCTATCCTCTTTCCCAAGAAGCAGAGACTTCCTTACTGAGAAAAAGATCCTGGCAGTTTCTCCAGGAGAAAAGTAAATAAAAGGGGGCTCCATAGGTATCTGGATTGTGTGAAGTACAAATTAGTGCAATAAATAAAAGCAGTAATTGGGTAGAAAGGTCCTAATTTATCCTGACTGTAAAACTATGGGGGGAAATTAATCTGAATGGTTGATGCATTATATTAGGACAGTGAAATAAAAGCACCACACAGTTCCAAAGAGCTGCTCACATAAATAATGCAGAGACATCTGCTACAGTCATGCATGACCTTCAGCTTTAGAGAAACCTGTAGAAGTGTATCGCTCACTTAAAGCAGCAGATGTGGCTCTGAGCAGCAGAAATGGCCAAACAGAGCCTTTTAATGTCCTTTTGGTTGCCAAAAAGGGGAGGCATGGCAGTTATGACCAACGTATGTATTGCAGATGTCAGGCCAAAAATGTAATTGTGTGGTATTACTTTGAAAGTAGTTATACTCCAGAAACTTCACTTTTGTGGCTACCACAAACTACATTCAATTGAGAGTCATTGAAAAAATATATCAAAATGTGCTGCAGGATGTCCCACAAAAACAAAGTTTTTACAGTTTAATGAACTTTTTCTATGTTTTTAGGATAGAACCAATTAGGAGATGACCCAGGAACAAAAAATGTGTTACATAGTGAAATAATCAGCATGTGCTCCTGGTGCATTGCTCTTGCAAAACTGCATATTTCAAACAATCTACAATAGCTTATTTCAATATCTCATTCATTGTTTTATAATGTGTATAATTGTAAATCACCACTTATGTGCATGAAGAAAAGTGTTGAACTATAATATTACTTGGCAATCCCTTTTTTATTTCTTTTTGTTTTTTATTTAATAAATAATTCACAGGCAGAATCTACACTTCCATATAATCCTGTTTCTGAATCCAGATTATCTGCTTTGCACTGAACTGTATGAGTACACTGCCATATGTTCCAGTTCAAAGCAGATAATTTGAATTCAGAAACGGGATTATTTGGCAGTTTAGATGGGGCCTTTGTCTCTCTGAGTGATAACTTAGTGACTCTGTAGCAGTCTCACAGAATCTTTTCTATATATTTTTTTTACTTTTGTTGTTGTTTATTTGTTCAGTCATTTCAGACTCTTTGTGACCTCATGAACCAGCCTACGCCATGAACCAACCCTCTCGCCACCCAATTCCTTCAAGGTCAAGCCAGCCACTTCAAGGATACCATCCACCCATCTTGTCCTTGGTTGGCCCCTCTTCCTTTTTCTTCCATTTTCCCCAGAATCATTATCTTCTCCAAGTTTTCCTGTGTTCTCATTATGTGGCCAGAGCACTTCATCTTTGCCTCTAATATCCTTCCCTCCGGTGAGCAGTCGTTCTTTATTTCCTGGAGTATGGATTTGTTTGATCTTCTTGCGGTCCAAGGCACTCACTCCCAGAATTTTCCTCCAACACCACAGTTTACTAGTCTCTACAATTTCTTTCTTTCACTGTTTGCTGCACAAGTTCACATTTGTTTGGTTTGATCAATGAAGAATAAATTCATTTCTAATTCAAATATAAATCAAAACTCATGTTTAAGTAAAAGTGAAGTGATCATGCTCAAACCCTGTTATCTATAACTCTTCTTTTTTGAACAGAGTGTGGATCACACTTCTTGCAAACCTCATCATATTGAGGTGGGGCTAAGATGAGCATAACCAGTGACGAAGTGAATTTCTTGGTGTATCGCTATCTTCAGGAATCAGGTAACGTGTCTTATGTTACAATATTACATGTCATTTAGAATGTTTTCGCAAAACACTTTTTGTGATGCTTATTCAAATTACATTGTGCGTTTTGAAGGTGAGGCATTTTTGCCCATCTCAGCTGCAAAATAACTGCAATCTCATTTTAGATTTGCAAATGGTATTACAGGGTGAGCGCCCCTTATCAAGAAATCCAAAATATTTCAAGATCCAAATTAAACTATGTTTTATACATAACATTATTTAAAGTATTGCACATAAAGTTACATTCAAGCTATGTGTATAAGGGGTACAATCGGATTCAAATCTTTGCTCAGTCATGAAATCCACTGGGTGACCATAGGCAAGCTACAGGCCCAGCCTCAGAGGAAGGCAATGCCAAACTCACTCTGAACAAATCATCTAGCATAGGATTCAGAATTTTGCAACCATCCATATTTTGTTGGACTATGTGAAGATCCCTTACCTTGCCAGCCAGGGTGGCAGGGCCCAGGAAGAGACAGGCTAGGTAGTTTCAGC